ATCCCTCCGGCGAGCAAGGTGTTCACGATCCTGATGTTCGCCGCCCTCTTCCTCCTCGCTCGGCGATGGAAGGAGAAGTCCCGAACCTCGACCCCGATGCTCGCGGTGATCACCCCCTCTGAGATCGCCGCCCTCGTCTCTCTGATCGCCTCCTTCATCTACCTCGTCTCGTCTCAGCTCTTTTGATTCTCCAATTTCCCATTTCGTAGGGCGCTTCCCTGTTGTTCGCTATTATTATTATTATTATTATTATTAGGGTAAATTGCACATGATTGTTGTTTTTTAAGTTACTACAATGAGTTTATGTGCAATTAACCCTAATTATTAATAATGTGGTATTTTAGTTAGAAGATAGAGTGAGAGCTAAGCGTCACTTGCGTGTTCGTCTATGATTATAGTTGTTGCTGCTTGATTTTAAATTAAATATTGTGCAGGCTTTTGTTTTGGGATGTAGCTACTAAAACTCTATTTATATAGTTCAGCAAAATTGTTATTAGTTACGACTTGTACACAAATCTTCACAGCTTGTTGGCTGAAAATAGTTGCAACTAACTACGGCGGCACATTAATTTATTAGTCACGGTGAAAATAAATCTGAAGCAGAATGCTTCAGCCAATACGCAAGCAGAAGCTACAAATTTTGTCATGCAATGCATACTTTTGTCAGCACTTTATTCGGAGAAGTAAATATTTCTGTGTGTTTTATGTCTTCGCGCGGTGTTGTTTTAGTAACAAGTTGATGATAAGTAATGCGAAAATCAGGTAAAATTCATAGACTGACATACAATGTTCTCTTTTCCCTAAAAATTAATACTGCTTTTAAGGCTAAGTAATGTTTGCTGCATCTGCGGTACTAAGAAACAGTTAAAGACAACGAAAACATCAAAGAATTAGACTAAATTAGAGAGCAAAAGCCACTATATAAGTTCTATACATGATCGGTCAAAGATCAGGAGAACTCTTAAACTGCTCTTTATCGATAGCTTACAAAAAATCGAAATCGATTTCTTTACTACTTTCGTCCTTTCCTCGGCTTCTTTTTGTTCTTCCTCTGTTGTTTGGGCTTGTTAGGGGACGCTTTTTTCTCGAGACCATTTTTCGCAGAAGCAGCAGTAGCTGAATTATCCCCGAGATCATTTTTCGCACAAGCAGCTGTGGTTGAAGTTGAACTATCCCCAGAAGCATCAACTCCTTTCCTTATCAACAAATTAGCATATAATTGGAGCCTTGGTCTCGTTTTCTGCAACTCGTCCACTAGTTCATCAAAACGTAACATGTTCTTCTTAAGTTCGTCTTCACTGTGAATCATGCAGCATATGGCAAATAAGAGCCGAAACAGATGAGAAAATACAAAATAAAAATGATCCAACGAGCAACTAAAAGAATCTCGGCATCCAATTTTGTTGAACAAAAAAAAAACGCGTAAATATTGAAGCTAAGCGAAAGAGATACCTCAAGTTAAGCAGGTCAGAAAGTTCTGTCAGCACATCAATCAGAAGCTGTATTTCTAACAGCAGCTCTTCATCACCATCATGAAGCTCGCTCCGGTTCAAGCTCTTCACTTGAAAGTTAAGAACTGGCAACAATTTCTCCACCTCCATCTAAGAAGAAAAAGGAAAACCAATTAAATTCGCCATCCATCGAACTGAATTTAATACGACTAACTTCATGTCAATATACCTTGAGATTAGGGGCAACAATTTTGATACTGTTGTTGTTGCTGGTTTTACTCTGTTCCAACAGAAACGCATCAAAAGCTGAAAAGAGATTCTGGACCTCGTCTTTCGAACTAATTTCCTTCTCAGAAATCTCCAAAGTTGAAGCAAATTTAGTTTCAAGAACATTATAATCAGAAGAAGCCCCAGCAATGCTTGAAGACCCGGATTCAAGCATTGAGGCTCTACTTTTTGGAAAAAGCACATCCATTAGACCCTGTCTGCTTCTTGTGATGCTCATATCTACAAAGAGAGCATTCCCACATGTAAACTTGAGGGGCTTACCAGTCAAGCTTACTATCACTAATGGATCGCCAATAGTCATGAGGGCTGAAGCAAATACACTATGGAACTCATCCCATCCTACATAGCGAAGTAAATTACGAAATGCTCCAGGAAGTACCGAAACTATACCCTTATGTTTCAACACATTCAGGAGAATGTTAAGTAGCTGTCCCGAGTTCAGGTAGACAAGAACAATCATAATAACCAATTTGAGTACCATTGATGGATAGTAATTGTTCGCATTTAGTTTGGATGCCTTGATCCAGTGAATCATCCCTGGCTGATCAAATAGCAACTGTTGTATCAAGTATGTGAAACAACTAAACGATTTCATAAAGAAAACTTGGTCATAGGAATCAGTATTAACACAGCAAAATGTATCCGAACAACCAATTGCCTCAGCAAAGGAACCTTTCGTTGTATAGAAATAGCATCCACGAGCTGACACCATAAATAGCAGCTGTTCTATTAGATATAGGAGACAAGGAGGAGATATATAATCTACTTCTTTCTTCCAGTTGATTAGAAATGTACTCCCCAGTGCAGCTTGGAGGCTCGACACAAGCGACATATTCCTACATTCTGGTTCCTTCTTGCTCAGATGTTCTATGAATGGTTTCCAAGGGCCCATATCATCCAAACGGTTCATGATAGTTTCATAAGCTCCCTTACTTAGCTTCTCAGTGGCCATGATAATCATTGCAGCCCTACCAATCTTGCCATATGTCAGTTTTCCAGTGATGGCATCAATGAGAGCATCCATCAATAATTCCTTCACAAGGTCCTTCTCTCGCAGACAAATGGCATTCTTCTTTATTTCAGGTCTCCAATCTACAGGAAAAACAACGCCCACAAAAGATCTCAGTGTTTCAGCAAGGGTATTTTGTAATTTATTGAAATGTGATTTTGTGTGGGTCGGTCGAAAATTGATCAGAAACTTTGACAACTGGTAGATACGCAGCAGAACTACACCTCGACTCCCCGAAGGAATACCGTTTCTTATGGAGAACCAGTTGAGTTCTTCAAGACACCTCAATACTCTCATACCAACAGAAACTAATTCTGAAACCCAGTAACTCTCTGAAGCAAGAACAAACAGGTCATTTTTAACAAGTGCCAGTTTCCCATACCTCTTAAAGGATCTGAGGTCACTCTGACTCAACCATAGAGAATCTGCATTGCAGGCAACATAATTCTTCTCATACTTTCTGTGAAAGCCGAAGTAATTCATACAAAAAACTTCGGGTCTCCCACTTCCTTCTTTAGGAAGATCATCAAACTTCTGAAGAAAGTCTAAAAGACTACAAACATTTTCCCTCCAGATATTCCAAACAAACACCATCGTCTCCGAAGAGACAATATTCTGTAGCATCTTAGTTACCTGTCTCTCGGAATTGTCATCAATTTCAGTTTCCAAATGAAACTTTGAAGGATCAGACTTCATATGGAGATCAAGAATTTTACGAGAAGAAAAAACTTGTGTCTTCATGTTCTTAAGTCTTTGAGGAACATTCAGGATTCTTGCAAGATCTCCCAAGCCTTTTGTTGTATCTTCTAGTATGCTGATCTCCAGAACAATTGATTCAAAAGAGCCGTGTGAACTTTTCTCAGCCAAAACTTTGGCTCTCTTTAACATATCTCCCTTCTGCTTAAATTCCTTTAGGGGCCACCCATTACTTCCAGTTGTCCAGAGAGAATTCATGACAACATAGAGAAGAATTACCCTCGCGGATGGTTCAAATTTCCCAGCCTTTTCAAGCATATCAGCTTGAAGAATAAGATTACCATTCAATTGTGCGATATCTGCAGCTTCCACAAAGTTCTTTAATTCTACCTCCATTGAAAATAATTCATCAAGACATTCTCTCTCCTTTAGGAATGTGCGCGCTTTACTTATGGAGTTGAAAGCTTTAACAAATTTCATCATATGTTTTGAATCTTTAAGCTTGTGATAGTGAGCAGCACACCTTTCCAAAAATACAAATTCTCTCTCTTCCCAGTGTACTCTACCTGCTTCTATAATATCAGATGTTCGGCATCCTCTCCAATGCTCAATATAACGCAATCCTACATCCAATAGGTTACCCCGAGAGCAAACGGACAAGCACTCAGAGTAATAGTTCCCCTTAGCATATGCCTTGGCTGCAAGTGACCAACATCCAGCCTGGGAAAAGCAATGCCCTGCATCCTGAAGCCTAGAGTCGCCGCATTTCTCCAAATAAATGGTGCCTTAATCAACAAAAGTGAAGTAGTACATTATTAAGTACCCCAATGTTTAACTTTCAGGTAACTAAAAAGTGGAGGACAGTGCAATTCATCTAGCGAGTTTGTAAGATTTTGGTTGGTGATTGACCACAAGCGGGATTTTGATGTCTGCAAACAGTTCTTACTGACTGGGACATGGCCAAACGTTGGATAACTGTTTTACCAGTCGGGGTTTATTTAGATAGATCGGGGTTGGATGTGATGGATCTAGTAATATCGTCATTGATTTTGGCTATCGATGCTCATCTCAATGTTGGTGAAAAATCTCAAATGCACTAAAACAAATTGCAGTTAGTAGAAGCTTTACTAGACTTCGAAGAGAGTATGAGGGGATTACAGTGCTGTCAATATTTTAGAAGGGGCCACCAGTCCTAAGACAACAAGTGGGGGGTTTCGAGGCAAATCGTAATGATATTTAACCATGGAGATTATAGTGAACAGGACTCCTATTCTTTCACAATAGTTGATATTAAAGGGTGCATACTGCATGAGATTTTATATCGAAGGCATCTCTAAACCTTAATTTGGAGCATATTTGTTAGAACTATAATACTTGAAACATCGAGGGATTTTACCTTAGCAAATTTATTATAACATGCAGTTTCCAGTACGGATTTTCAAAACAAACATTTATTTCCTCATCGGAAGGTACCCACATATTATCTAGGTATAGCATTAAGGTGTCCTCCCAAATCATCAGTGCAGGTATATGCAATATAACATACAATATATTCTAGAGGTAGTGGCTAGTGTCTGCTTGAAAAAAGAAGATAAAATGTAATGTTCAAACCTGCTTTTTGAAAATCCTTCAACTCAATATAGCAACTGGCTTCTAATTCTACTTTGCCAATACTTTCATAAATCTTAGCAGCTTCAATGAGTAAATGACGTCCATTCTTGTCGTCTGAATTAATAATATGCTCAGCAGAAGCACGAAGACTGGAAGCCCGAGACCACTTCTCCCTAAAGGTATCTCCAGCATGTTCAAAGCAGATAGTAGCCATTTCATAGTTTCCCTCATTAAATAACTGCAAAGTAACAAGCAGGCAACATTGAGAGGTGCAAACAGTTCTAGAAAAAAGGTATATGATCTATAAAGGAAGACCCAAAATACATTAAAAAAGCATGATATCCAACCTTAATACCACGGTCTCTCCAATCCTCACTGCTGCTTGCAACGAACATAGACTGAGCAAAAGAGCTATCCAGCCATCTAAATTTAACAAGGCCCAGCTTATTCCAGTAATCAAACATAGGTTGTGAGTAATCCTCATGATTCTCGCATATCCATAACCTTTGCCTAGTGCGAGTGATGGCAACATATAATTGCTTCAATTCAGAACAAAGAATATTGTGATGCGCAATTTCAAATCTTTGGAATGAATTTGTACTGGGATCCAGTAGACAATGTGAGTTCATATAATCATAAATCACTCTCCAATGGTTTTGTAAAGGTGAGTCTCCAAAGAAGTTGTACACCAGAACATCCTGGAGAGTGGAAAGATATGAGAATAGAGAAAAGCTCAGTATATATCATAAGAAAGCACCCATTTTACCTGGAACTCCAAGCCTTTGCATTCAAGTATTGTCAAAACAAGTGCATGTTTCCGAACATCTTCAGGAACTTTTTGCTTAGATAACTCGTCACGCACAAGTATAACTTGATCTGCTCCAAAACCATTAAAATGGCTACAGCTGCTGTCTGTGGAATGACCAAAAAGAGTCATCAATGCATTTTCATCACATCTAGATCGCAGCAGAATTGGTGGTTCTCCAAATATAAGACTTGTCTCTGGCTGTAAGCGATCAAGTGAGTGAGGAAAATAGAAGCAAAGAATGTCAATTACACTTTGAGCCAATTTTAGCACACCAGCATGTGTCCGGAAGTTTTGGTTCAAATGAAACATATCAGAAATAGACTTGCGTTTTCCTTTAAAGCTTTTCATATGATCACAACTAGGATCTTGGAGGAACACACTGTAAAACAAAGACCTTATATCTTCAAATCGGAAATCAACACCCCGGGCAATAGTTTGAGCAGTATCGCCTGCAAACACAAACCCTTCAGAAAAATTTTTGCACACATATTTAAAAAGAGAGATCTGTCTCATGGTAAGATCCTGAACTTCATCAATATATACAAAATCCATTTGGACACCCACATTTCTACCATATACTCTGGCTCTGCGATGAAGATCACATACTAAATCAGACATGTCAAACTCTCTATTTCTACGCTTCGTCTTTTCATAAGCTAGAAAAATATCATATATAATTTCCCTAGCATCACAGTTTAATGAAGATGCACGCCGTTCAGATAGACCAACATAAGCCTCTCTGTCGAGCCAGCTATCAAAAGGCACATTAGACGTAATGTCACCTTTTAAATGAGAAATTATCTCCGTGAAAACAACTGAAGAATCAAGCTTCTTGGTCAGCTGGGTATTAAAGTGAGGCCAGTATGATGATAAAAATCTGGGATACGTGACCTCCTTCTTTCTTATAAGTGTTTGCAAAGCAAAAGATCTTGAAACTCCAGTTCTTTTAAGCGAGAGCTCACCATCATCAAACTTATCAAAAAATGAATTCCCCAAACTTCCATCAAGCATTACCAGAAACTTCTGAAAGGTTATTATAAGGGGATAGTGCTTCTGTGTGATATTCTTAAATGAGTCAGGGATGTCTGAGAAAGCATTTAGGCTATCACCAATATCATACATATCAATACCAGTCTTGGATGAATATTCACCGCCACATAAGAAGCTGGATATATAAACCAAGCAAACAAAAGGTAAGAAACATCTTACAGGATGAAGAAAAAGCTTGAGCATCAAAGATATGAATGTGCGAGCTATGAAGAAAAAGCTTAAGCATCACAGATATGTGCAGCCATTGCCACCAAGAAGATGTGATTAGTAAAAAAGTCGGACCTGGCAAGCTTCTAATTTGGATAACCTAAAGACTATAAAGCTTCAAAATTGAACTTAATATGGTACACAATCAATCAAATGAATTACTGAGATGTTAGTGAAATTTTTTTTAAATGCATTGTTATTTAAATTGCACCCATAATTTAGTGTCTCCGGTACCTTATTCCTTTCTAGGGATAATTCTTTGATGCTTTTCCACACCAACCACAGTCCATAAATTTAATAGCAATTTGCATGAGATAAAACTACTATTTGTCCCGTGTAAATTAGAGGAGGAATGGACTGCATTAGTTCTTCAAAGAGTTTCTCAGTTTAAAATCTAGATATCAAACCAAGTTCAAGAACGAACAAAAATTGGCAAACTAATAAAAAAAAAGTACCAGTAACATAACAAAATGTATCCAGCACTGCAATAATATCTAAAAACGTCTTTTGTTATTTACATTGTGATAACTTTTACCATGAGGTCAGATCCACTTTTCCATTTCTCAGGAATTTATAATCGCTGTATCATAGTTTCTCACAAAGCTACAGCACTTCCTATTAACTGTGTGTGACATATCTATATCATTTCCCTAGTAATTGAGTCATCCCACATTAAACGGTAGCATACGGTTATTTGCAAATGCAATACTAATTGTGTCATCACACATCAAATGGTAACATACAGTTATTTGCAAATGCAATAACAGTTTAAAATAGTGTCCAACCAAATATATTAACAAAGCTGGTATTGTTTATAGTAAAAGCACAAATAAATCTGGAAATTTATGATTATGCACTATGCACAGACTAAAACTGGTAGTGTTGGGGATGCACAACCCCCCTGATGCGATTTGGAAATAGAGATTTAGGAGAGGAGAGAAAAAACAAACAATCTCAAACACACAAGATTTACGTGGTTCGCTTCTCAATGTGAGAAACTACGTCCACGGCCGCCGCAGGAGAAAAATTCACTATTTTTCGTCTTAATACATCATGCCCTAATCAACCCTTTTATAGACTTAAGGGTTTAACAAGTAAAAAAGGAAACAGATCAAAACAGGTCAAAATTCGAATCTGGGCCAAAACCCGACTCCGGTCGACCGCCGCACCACGTGCGGTCGACCGCGACGAATCCTATTCCTGATCGAGCTCTCTGGACTTTGGGCGGTCGACCGCAGCGCCATGTGCGGTCGACCGCGATGCTGTCCGCAGTCTGGGCTTGCTCTCTGGAGAGCGGTCGACCGCAGCGCCACCTTCGGTCGACCGCGACGAAGACAGAAAGCTGGGTTGCTCTCTGGACTTTGGGCGGTCGACCGCAGCGCCATGCTCGGTCGACCGCGATGAACTTCTGACCTGTGCACCCAGCTGTGCACATAGGCGGTCGACCGCGATGCAGAAAAGTGCCTCCTTCGTCGTTTTGCTTGAACTTCGTCATCGTCGATCCTGTTCATCCTGTTCCAACTTTGTTCCTCTTCATTCTGAAGTGTAGGGCATGCCTGATAGTTAGGCTTCACATATCCTAACAATCTCCCACTTGGAGACTAACTATCAATCTCTTTCAGCTCTCTCTGCGGCGACGGCCTCCATATCATCAAGTACTGAGGCCAACTGAAGTTGAGCACAACTTCAGTTTCTCTATAGTGACAACCTTGGTAAGCATATCAGCTGGATTCTTACTTCCTTGAATCTTCACAAGTTCCAACATGTCCTCGTCCAACGCTGATCTTATGAAGTGGTAGCGGACCTGTATGTGTTTGATTCTTGCATGAAAAGCGGGATTCTTTGCCAAATGAATTACGCTCTGGCTATCACAATGTAAGACACTCTTCTCACTCTTCTGTTCCAACTCCTCCAAGAAACCCTGTAACCAAATCATCTCCTTGCTTGCCTCTGTCACAGCAACATATTCAGCCTCTGTCGTTGATAAAGCAACGATCTTCTGCAACTGAGAAACCCAGCTAATAGCTGTAGAGCCCAAAGTGAATACATATCCTGTAGTGCTCCTTCTCTGGTCTATCTCACCAGCATAGTCTGCATCAACAAAACCCTGCAGAACTAACTTGCCTCTTCTGAAGCATAAACAATCTTCTATTGTACCTCGCAGGTATCTCAGAATACACTTTACTACTTCCCAGTGCTGCTCTCCTGGATCTGACATGAATCTGCTCACAGCTCCCACTGCATAAGCAATGTCAGGTCTTGTGCATACCATGGCGTACATAAGGCTTCCAATGGCTGAAGCATATGGAACCTTAGCCATGTAGTCTTTCTCTTCATCAGTCTCGGGACACTGCTCCTTAATCAATTTGAAATGACTAGCTAATGGTGTGCTAACGGCCTTAGCACCGCTCATCCCGAACCTCTCAAGCACCCGTCGAATATACTCGGCCTGAGATAGTCGTAGTGTGCCTAAGAGTTTGTCTCTGCTAATCTTCATTCCTAATATCTGCTTCGCTACGCCTAGGTCATTCATGTCAAACTCACTCGACAGCTGCTTCTTCAGCTTCTTGATCTTTCTCATATCTGAACCGGCTACAAGCATGTCGTCGACATATAGGAGCAGGATGATGTAACTTTTGTCAAACTCTTTGACGAAACAGCAATGATCAGCATTACACCTGGAGTAACCGTTCCTGTGCATGAATCCATCGAACTTTTTGTACCATTGCCTTGGAGCTTGTTTTAGGCCGTACAAGCTCTTCTTCAATCTGCATACCATCTTCTCTTTTCCCTTCTGAGTAAACCCCTCTAGCTGCTGCATATATATATCTCTTCCTCTAGATCACCGTGGAGGAAAGCTGTCTTTACATCTAGCTGCTCGAGATGTAGATCTTCAGCTGCAACAATACTCAGGACTGTTCTGATGGTAGTCAGTTTGACTACTGGAGAGAAGATCTCTGTGTAATCAACTCCTTCTCTCTGCTGAAATCCTTTAACCACCAATCTGGCCTTGTATCTCTTGGAATCATCATGTTCCTCTTTGATTCTGTACACCCATTTATTGCTCAAGGCCTTTTTCCCCGTTGGTAGCTTCGCAAGTTCCCATGTCTTGTTGGTGTTCAAGGATTTTATTTCATCTTTCATGGCGAGCTCCCACTTGCTCGCATCATCCACTCGAAGGGCCTCATCATAACTTTCTGGCTCTCCACCGTCACTCAATAATAGGTAGTTAAGATGAGCTCTGGGCTGTAGTGATGGATACTTTGGATTGGGCTTGGGGACTCTAGCTGACCGCCTCAACTCTCTGACGGGCGAAATAGTCTCTCCATCTTCATCTGCCCCCTCTGAAGTGGTCTCATCCATCAACTCTTCTTATTCATCAGAACTAGCTTCGGGATTGTCTCCATCTGAGGCATCATCTGACTCGAAATATGTAGGATCACTCTGCATCGTACTAGTGGGCTGAACGGCATCACGGTCTTTGTAGAGGACTGATTCGTTAAAGACCACATCCCTGCTTCTGATGATTTTCTTGTTCTGCTCATCCCAAAATTTGTAGCCAAACTCATCACCGCCATAGCCAACAAAGAAACATTTCAAAGACTTAGGATCAAGTTTGTTTCTTGCATGATCACTCAGATGAACATAAGAAACACAACCAAATACTCTCAGGTGACCAAAGGCACTGATGGTCCCCGGTTGATCAAGTAGGCAGCTGTGTTGACTGCTTCTGCCTAGAATTGCTTTGGAAAACCTGCTTGTAACCGCATACTTCTGGCTCTCTCAGTCAATGGAGGTTACAATTCGACGACTTTCAGAAGGCTACAATTTAAAGACTTTCACGTAGATCGACAACCGATGAAAGCTCTGATCAATGGTCTTCACAACCAATAATGAGAGTTACAATCTGACGACTCTCACATTTCAAAGAGCTAAAGCGAAGATTACAAAACAACGATCGTCGCGACGCTCTGACAGAAGAGATTACAAGTCAATGATCTCTTCAATCCAAGACGCAGGACTCATCCCTGCATCCTAGAGGTGAAGCACAAGTGACCTCATTCCAGAGTCAAAGCTATGCAAACGCAGCTCCTAAATGCTGCAAACGCAGCTTCCATTCGCTGCCAAACATAACTCCTAAATGCTGCAAACGCAGCTTCCATTCGCTGTCAAACGCAGCTCCTAAATGCTGCAAAATACAGCTTCCAATCACTACCAAACGCAGCATCTAACTGCTGCCAACGCAGCTTCTAACTGCTGCCAACTCAGGTTCCATCTGTAGCCTAACGCAGCTTGCAAACACTGCGTTTAAACGCAGATTTCATTCCAGAATGCAGAACATGCGTTTGACTCGTTCCAACACGAGTTGAACGGTTCAAGAAATCGTTTTCTCTCCATGATCTGAGGGATTTCCGCCCCCACTTAGGAGCGGATTAAGGAGGCGGTTACGCCCCATTCAGCCCTACTTAGGAGTGAATTAAAGGGGTAGTTACGCCCCTTAATCCCCTATAAATAACTAAAAAATCAGTTTAGTACAGTGCTCGGATCCTTCTCCTCGGTAGAAAAGAAGAGGCTCTTCGGCTTGGGCAAATCAAGAGAGATCTTTGGATCATTGAGTATTTTCAGATCTAGAGATCAGCAAAGGGCATTCTTCGGCAACAGAATGTATCTTCGTGCTTGGCTTGTCTAACCAATTACGGTTAAAATCAATCAACTCTTTTACGAGAGTTTAAACTCGCTCTGAGTTATCAACTCATCAAGAGTTCTAAAACTTGCTTTGCAAGTTCTCCATAACGTCAAATCGTGAGGAGAAGATACCGTTCCAGTGAATCATGACGTTCAGATCGTCAACGGAGAGCAAACTCAACGTGAGCATTCGAGGGAGACACTTCATGCCACCGTGAAGAA